CGTAAGGACAGGAAAGGGAAAGCCCGGAGGGAAGGCCTGGGGTCGGGGTGCCGCAGCTCCCCGGTCCCTTCGCGGGATCGGCCCCTGGGAGCGGCGGGGGGGCTTCGAACAAAGAGCCGCCTTCACTCCCCAGGAGGGGCGCGGGGCTCCTGCCCGCCGCTCACCAGGACTGCCCAGGCGGGGTGCTCAGACTGGAGCGGCATCTGTGCGTGTGCGTGTGTGCACGCGTGCACGTGTGAAACAAACGCGCCCTATTCACGTCTGAAATCGAATCCTGCAGACAGACGCCCAGCGATGCCCTGCCCACGAAACTGGTGTCAGCAAGCCGGGTTAACCGATGGGATCAGCTCCATTCAACCTACCGCAAGGAGCCCTTTCCTTCTTCCTTTCCTCCCCTTTCCTACCTATGTTTTCAGGTCTAGAAAACCTATCTCAAATGAGCGCGCTCTCTCCATTTTAACCCACATTTTCCTGTCTAGAAAAATTGATCTCAAATAACCTCTCTCTCTCTTCCCCACTCTCTCCCCCCCCACTCTCTCTCCCTCTCCTCCTTCCCTTTCCTCTTCCCCCCCCTCCCCTCCTTCTTTCTTCTTTTTTTGTTTATGGGCTCATACTGGGGACTTGAACTCAGAACTTCTCCCTCTTTTTGGCTCTTTTCCCGCCCAAAGCTGTCACTATACCTACCACTTGAGCCAGAAGGATACTTTCAACTTTTGGATGATTAATTGGAGATGAAAATCTCATTGATCTTTCTGCTCTGGATGGCTTCTAACTGTGATCCTTGCATCTGAGCCTCCTGAGCCAGCTAGGACTACAGGCATGAGCGGCCAGCACCCAGCTCAATAAGTTATAATTCTGGTATAAAGGAAGATGATATGTTGGATTCCCTTGCAGTGTGTCGAACATTCCTGTGTGAACAACACAGTACTTTATCTGCATAAATTACCATGGTGTATTCTGTGCCTTCAGGAAAAACAACAACAACTATGAGATATGAGTAATAAAGTATTATCAAGACTCAACCTAGGTCTTGCAAAGAATAGTGAACATTTAGAAACTAGGAATTAATTTCCTTTGTATTTTGAAATCAGGAGCACTATAAAACATTCACAGACGTTCTGGTGCATGTCAAGAATGATGAAGTTATTGTTGTGAAAGGTGTAGCTGTTTTGTTCTTTTTAAGTTGGGGGTAGAATATACGAACCATAAAAATGCCAAATTGTGTCTTGTGTGGGAAGGGGTTACTCTCTTATTGTGTAAGCATCACAATGGACTTGCATCTTACTGCTGGAAACTGAGGGTTCAAATCGGGCTTGGGCACACCAAGGATGTATTTTGTGGTCCATGCTGAGCCCCTGCTTGCAAAGCCACTGTGTAATTTGGGGGAGCTCAATGTGAGTGGCAGGCCCAGCTCGCAAGTAGGTCAGGCTTGGAAAAGCCAGTGTTCAGCACAGCACAGCTGCCCCTTTGGGCCTCTCCTATTCCTAGGCCCATCCCCCGACACCTGGGTATGCAGGAGGCGAGGGGTGATGCCAGTCTTCCAAATTGCTCTGAGGTAATTTGCTATGATTAAAAAATATATATTACTTCGTGTGAATGAAAAAAAGGTATATAAATTCTAGTCCTATGAAGGCATTCATAACATTTAAGTGGGAACTTCACTTCTGGTACCTCTAGGGATAGAGTGCTTTACTTCTAAAATCTAGCTGTGTAAAGGGAGGGTTTTTTATTTCTAAAGTCTACATAGCTTGAGGGATTAAAAATAAAAAAGGGCAGCTGATTTCAGGCAAATAGGGATTTTGACAGTACCAAAAAAATGGATCTTTTTGAACCTTAATGTGTAATATTTTCTCAACTCAGAAGTGCTTGCCTAAAACTATTTCTTAAATTCAAAGACTTAGCAGGAAATATTAACTTATGTTTACTCTACCCCACCAAATGGAAGGGATTTGTCTAAGAAGCCCAAGAAGGAAAATGATTTCATCTGCTTTGAGCTAAAGTTTGAAGAGCAGACTTTGGTGAAAACAGCTCATTTGTGAGCAGTGTGCATACACATACAACACAAAATGGACACCTCTTAGTTTACACAGGAATCCTTAAAGTTGACAGAGGAGAACTCTGGTTCCAAGTGTATTTTTATATCTCTAGGGTGCTGATATTGCTTCTGGCAGTAATTCAATGTCCTGCTCACATTAAGAGAAAGGGAGGGGGAGGAGAAAGAGAGAGAGAATGAAAATAAATTTAACTCTTTTTTGACTCCAGGAAACACTATTTCCTGCCACATGTAAGTTGTTCACTGTTTAGTAGGGTTAAAATGAATTTCCTTGCATCTGAAGAATCACATCAAAAGCCCACCCAAACATTCACCTGCTGAAAACATGATGTTTTCTTATCACCATTGAAATTCATGTTTAGAAAATTAAGAAGAAGCAAATCAAGTTCGATGTGTTAAAAAGTAAAGTCCCCAGAAGACAACTATCCTTTGCGTAAAACCTGCTGTGAGAGTGAAGAGGGGAAAAAAACTTTAAAAAAAAATGGACTGCACTCCCAGCCTAGGAAAGGGGTAGTTAATCCCGTGACAGTTTGCCGAAGAATGCATGGTTTATTATTAAAGTAATCTCTTAAGATTTTCCTGGAATGTGCTTCCACAGCAACTCTGCCTGTGCAAGCTACCCTATGTGTGTGTCTTCTCCTCCATAATTAAGCTGTTTTCCTCCACTCAAGATCTAATACTTTCTTTCCTTCTACACATCTTCTTTATCTTATTTTCTACTGTTCTTGTCTGCCTTCAGCTTCCCATTTCCAATCCTGCCATTATCTATAAACAATAGATGACACTTGGGACTTGGACACAAAGGAAATGGTGTACTCTGCTTGAAAATTTAATATTCAAGCTGGGAAAAGTGGCACATGTCGACAGAACTAGCTGCTCTAGTTCTGCCTGAGATAGAAGAATCCTTAAACCTAGGAGTTCAAGGTCAGCCTGGATAACTTCCTGAGGCCCTGGTGAAACATACACACACCAAAGAAAATGAATATGGTCTTGTTGAAGGCATCTAATGAGGGAGGTCACCTTCCATTCCATGTCATTGAAAAGAAAAAGTAAGAGAATGGCTTGGACCAATAAGAAAATGTTCTTTGGTCTTGACTGGACTTGAATATTTAATACAGTAAAGAAATGGATCCTATTAGATTTTATCTACCTGTCTGTCTGTCTGTCTAACTATCTATCTAATCTAATGTTTGTTAAATATTTGGAGAATAGACTTTCTGTTTTGCTGGTTGCTTTCATTTATTTTTGTGCATGCACACACCTGCCAGTACCCCATAACTCAGTCCTCATTTCCTATGCTTATAAGATTAGTGAAACTCTGGTGGTAGAACATGATACCTATAAAAATTAGAAAATTATGAAATTAAATGTACTTAAAATTCAATATTATAGATTTATATAACCAATTACACTATTTCCTTGTACATACATACCTGTACATATACCTATATGTATATATAGATATGAATAGAATATATATATATATATACATATATATATACTTGAATGCATATACATGTGTGTGAAAATTTTTCTTTATTGCTGGTACCAGGGCTTGAACACAGTCCTCCTGCTCATTCATCTTTCTTGTTCAAGAGTGGTGATCTGTCACTTAAAGCACGCTTTAAGAGTAAATGGTAAAGTGGAAAAAGTACTTTATCTAGGTGAATAACTGTCTTACTTGGAAAGCAAATTATGGTCTTATTATTATTGTCATTGTCTTATTTGGAAATAAAAATACACTGTAAATTAAATACATTAATACATATAGCCCTGCAAGAATACTAATATACTTGCTGTTCTAACTAAGTCTCATGCAGTTCTCTTTCTTATTAGTAAGAACCTATACACTGGAAATGAAGCAAATATTTAACAAACAAGACTGTTAATTGCTGAATTGTTCACATTAGTAGAGGCGTAGGAACAAGGTGTGCCTATCAATGTGGAATGACTGAATAAGTTATGGTTCATTTACAATGTGAGCTCTTATTCAACAATTTAAAGAATAAAGTAGAGTTAAACCTTGTAATATAGAAGTAATTTATTAGGTTTTGTTGAGTGAGCAAACGAATATAGAAAGGAATTTAAAATATGTTCCTAATTCAGTAGGACAAAAAGCAATATCTACAATAAATGTGTGTGTGTGTGTGTGTGTGTGTGTGTGTGTGTGCTTTTGTTTAAAAGGGAGGCTGGAGACTAGATTGAAACAGATTACTATTGTCCTGGCAGAGATAATAGCATATGAAGAAAGAGAGAAAGGGATGACAGGCCTGCAAAAAAATTGAAATAGTCTCTATGGTGCTATAGATACACTGATTATCACTGTGAAATGATATTGTACAGGTTTGTGCAACTTCAAAAACTCATAGTATATGATTTTAAAATAAGGAAAAAGGAGATGTGGAAGAAATTCCAACTTCTACAAGGGTTTTTATCTTTAGATCGTTCAGAAGTGAGTATTCATCAGTTTTCCTAATAGTCCATGCTACCTTCTAGAGCAAGCATTCTCAAGATTCATAATTTATAACAATCACCTTGGGCATTGGCTGCAAAGGCTTCACCTACCTCCCAGATATCTGTGATCACATGTGAGTGAGTATGAGTGTAATACCTGGGAATTTGTGTGTTCTCTTGCACTTAGGGGTCCTGATGCTGTGGCCTTCGGAACCACTTTGAAAGTTTCTCATCTCTCCTGAGGTCAAGGACGTTTATTTTGTTATTCTATGTGGAATGGACACAC